CTCCCCTCCTCCTCCTCCTCCTCCTCCTCCTCCTCCTCCTCCTCCTCCTCCTCCTCCTCCTCCTCCTCCTCCTCCTCCTCCTCCTCTCCTCCTCCTCCTCCTCCCTCGTCCTCCTCCTCCTCCTCCTCCTCCTCGTCCTCGTCCTCCTTTCCTGCTCCTGCTCCTGCTCCTCTCCTGCTCCTCCTCCTCCTCCTCCTCCTCCTCCTCGTCCTCCTCCTCCTCCTCCTCCTCCTCCTCCTCCTCCTCCTCCTCCTACTGCTCCTGCTCTTCCTCCTCCTCCTCCTCCTCCTCCTCCTCCTCCTCCTCCTCCTCCTCCTCCTCCTACTCCTCTGCCTCCCGTTCCTCTGCGCCCGGGAAACGCGACGTGGTGTCGGGCCCATCAGCGTCGAGTACGACCTCCTCGGCTGAAGTAAGGGCTAGGCGGTGTAGCAGCGCCCTACGGGCGCCGGTTCTCTGCTTCGAAGCTGGCCTTCCGGTCCGTCCACTCTACTCCACTACTCCTGAATCGGAGTCCGAGAGGATCGGAACGCTCGTGTAGGTTATCGCCGGGCCCCCTCCGGGGGGCGGAACGGCAGGCGGGGCCGTGGCATCGCAGAACGGCAAGCTGACTGCAAGTCTACTCGAAAAACCAGTGCCGGGCAAGTGCTCTTCCTATGAAGAACATCCGCCGACCCTGTCGGCGCGTGACAGACCCTTTCGGCGTGTGACAGGGGTTGTTCCGTCGCCATCGCCGTCGCTGCCGCCGTCGCGTCGCCGCCGCCATCACGCCCTCTCCTTTCCCTGAGTCCGTCGCCGCTCCCCCTTTTCCTTGGGCCCTCGTCCTCAAGCACGCCAGCCAAAGCGAAATACACCACCCCGTCCACAGCGAGATTCAGCAACGTTGACACTGCGTCGAGGGGAAAGCCCTTCCCTTTGAGCCCTTCCCCGCGGAAAAGGTGGGGTGGTCTCGGGGGGCGGTCCTGGGGGTTGGGAGGAGGGGGAGGAGGAGGAGGAGGAGGAGGAGGAGGAGGAGGAGGAGGAGGAGGAGGAGGAGGAGGAGGAGTTGGAGGAGTTGGAGGAGGAGGAGGAGGAGGAGGAGGAGGTCTCGGGTCAGAATGCCACCCTCCCGGGGCCCTCCCGCCCATGACCCGCCTGCCGAGGGCCGGCGCCTCCAGAATCGGCGGCACCAGCCGTAAGGCCACAGCAATACTGGAAGCTCGAAGGGGCTGAACAGACCCTGAACGTGCCCCCGTGGACCGAAGGTCGTCAGCCCTTCCAAAAACACAACGTCCCCCCCAAGTGTGCATCTCCTGGATCGGAGGCGCGCCTGGGGGGAAGTGAGAAGCGGCGGGCCTTCTCAGAAGGCTCGGTAGTTCCCAGGCCTTCTGAAAAGTCCCACCAGCCCTTTAGGGCGTAGGTGGTCTAGGGAGGTTCCTCTTCCAATCCCGTTCTTCCCCTTCGGGGAAGGGGTCTACCATTCCCCCTACCCCCTCCCCTGGACCTGGAGGGGGCGGGGTCGCTGGTGGTTGGAGGGTCCAAAATGGCCCAAGACGGCTCCAAGAGGGCTTCGGAGAGTCCAAAATGACCTCCAAGATGGCTCAAGATAGCCCAAGATGCCTCAAGATGGCCCCCAAGATGCTCCAAGAAGCTTCAAGAACGCTCCCAGACGGCTCCAAGAAGTCTTCCTGACCTCCAAGGAGGCCTCCACAAAGCCGAAATCCTTCCACAACCTGAGGGCCCTCAATGTTTTTTGCGTCGTCGTTTTTCGTTTCCGATTGCCTTCCGAGGCCTTGCTCCAAGGTGGCCTAAGAGGGCCCAAAGAGAAGCCCAAAAGAGCCCCAAGACAGCCCCAGAACGCCCAAAAACACCCCGAGAGCGCTCCGATGGGGGGTCCAGGAACCGATCCTTCGAGGCCCCTAAAGGGCAACACTAATTGGGGAGCCCCTTCTTGTTTGATCGATGTCCTCCAAGATGGCTCCAATACCGTCCCCAGGGCTCCCAAGAGGGCCCCCAAAAACACCCAAACGACCCTAGGAGGCGCCCGAAAGGCCTCCAAGAGGCTCCCAAGATGCCCTCAAGAGACTCCCCGAAGCATCCGAGACACTCCAAGAGGCCCCGGGAACCGCCAAGAGGCCCCTAAGATGCAAGGGGGGCCCAAGAGAACACGAAGGCGGACCCAAAAGCGACCAATTGCGCTACAAGAGGGACACTCCCTCTGCGTGCTGCCCACTTCCCTGATCGAGGCAACTCCTCTGGACATCGTCTCTGGATGGGTTGGTGGGGTTATTTTTTCTGGTACGCGGGAGCGCGAAGCGGGTCGAACGCCGGGCGAACAGGGGCAAAAGGCTGGCGGGATTACATGTTTCGCACGTGGGCGCGCGAAGCGAGTCGAACGCCGCGCTAACAGGGGCAGGCCGCGCCACGAGCTAAAGGAAAACAGAACAATGAGCAACGCCATGCACAGAGCGGGACGGAGCTCAGCGCAGCCACACACGTCCATGTAGGTGTCGAGCTGGATGCAGACGCAGTGGAAGAGCGACCCCACTTGCGACCAAAGAGAAGAACGCCACACTTACGCAGGGCGGCGGTGACATGAAGAAAAAACGGAACGGGCCAGCGATACCCCAAGTACCTTG